GGTACGAACATCTGGACCTGAGAAGACACCATACCTATCATGCCGGTCTTTGTAGCCAACTCTCGATGGCATGGTATCTGATACTGTGTTGGAAAATTGATGCCGCAGTGGTGTAGTACTCCAGACATGACCAAGGATTCAAGCCAGCAGCTCTGTCGTCGGAGGGAGCACCTGCAGAGGTGGGTTGGGCCATGATGATACTGCCAGCTACGAACCTGCTCAGTTTTTATACCAGCTCGGCAATCGCTGCTGCGATATCACATCTTGGCCATATTCCGGTTGTCGATCCACGTACGTCTGCTCGAGCAACGCTCATCATGGCTGCAGGTTTCGATGCAGTCGAGACTCACCACGGGTGCACCGTCTACTGCTTCTTTGACGATTGAGTCGGGCGTACCGAGTGAGTTTGCTGGTTCTATACGTGAGTCGAGGAGGAAATGAAGCGACGCTCTGAAACAGACTACACAGCACATGCAGTTTGTCAGCCTGAGGGCGGGCTGCAGTCTACAGAGTCACACAGTCACAAGAAGCCATCTCGCATTACTACATATGGGTATATTTGGCTCGAACAAACAATGCTCACGGAAACCCGATTTTCGGTTTCATATGCAAACGACTGTAATCGTCAAAGAAGACGATTGTGTACCGATACTTATGGTAGGAGTCTACGGGAAATGACTTAAGATCCGAGTGAAAACTCAAACGGTTCTTTAGCCCGTAGAGTGGATGGCGGGAAAGCCTTAGAAGGCATCTTGCCTTCCGCGCATCCAGGGCATACTGGGTCTTCCGAAGGAAACTCCAGATTGGTGGGGAAACCCTTGGTGTGTTCCCTAGCTTGCCGCAGGACTTCCTTAGAGGGGTGTCCCATGCGACGGTGCATAATCCCATAATCAACCGCATAGATCGTTGGGAATATAGAATACGCATCCGGTGCAGGAATTGTACTGACACTGTAGATAGTGTCGCCGGGCTGCCGCGGTAAAAACCTGAATAGAGGTTCGCGCAATCCCTTTTCATATAGACTTATGTGTCGGTCATTACCAGACACTTTTAGCTTATCCTGGAGTAAGACTCCGAGTGACATGAGGCGAATATTCAGGTCAGGTATATAGTAAACTGGGAATAACCGAGTGGTTATGTTCCCGACGTCCTTGATATAATAATTCAGGACTGTCGTACCGAACCCAAGTATTCGTGCAAACCCGTTCGCGGTAGATGCGGTTGCAGGTTGCTTAAATTCCTCAAAGTCGATGAAGTCACTCATGTCATAAGTAAAATGCCGAGAGGCCCCCGAGTCGAGAATCCAGGTGCTACCCTGTTGTGCCTTATCTTTCCCCTTACATTTTGCACACGCAGCATAAGTTTGCGCATGAGTGCAATATATTAAAGCCAAAGTTACAGGACTCAAGTTAAGATCTACACTACGCTGCCCTAACTGTGATGGCGCGTCAGTGGAGTCCTGTAAAGGGGAAGATGGCACGTACGAGTAGTGCTCGTCAATAAAGGCATTCTGGTCGAAGCCAGCAGCCTCCGCAATAGTGCGGTCCAGGTCTTCCTCGTCGCCGAGACTAACAGTCTCCCCCTGGTCCTTGTCACTACCCCAGTCAATAGACTGGTTGTCGTCGTGGTCGCTGTCCGCAGCGTCATCCGCGCGAGCAACTCCTTCGAAGCGAGCGCGCTTGGACGCGCGGCTGGAGGCGACAGAGTCGGCATCCTCCATGTCGATATCTGGGTCCGGATCAACTTGCCCGACCAGAGCGTCCAAGACCTTGATGTCTTCTTCAGTGGGACTTATATCGAGGTCCCGCGCGAGCTTGAAGGCTTTCTTGATCCTCTTGTTGTTGTAGTGACTGGTATCCGCCGAAGGAGGCGGGTGGAATGGACCTTGCTCTTTAACCGTCCGAGTCTTGCTGCCGCTAGGCGCAGTGTCGAGGACGTGAGCGATGGTCGGAGGAGGAAGGGAGACGGTCGAGGCGATCAAGACATCGTGGGCATGGTGGTGATCGTGGTTTTGCCCTTGACGCTTCTTGCCTGCACGCTTGCCGCGATAAGGGCGCCTCTTCCCATCTCGCGCATTGCCGCTGCTGCCCTGAGGGCGCTGCTGCTGCTGCGAAGAAAAAGAGGGATCGCCCGGCTTACGCTTCACCGCCGAGATCTTGTGCGCACCGAGTTTCTCAGGCTTCTTGCCTTGAGACTGGTCCCAAGCAGTGGTAACTGCTTCCCGTACCGCACCTATGCCCATGTTGTCAGCAGAGGTAGCTTGGACCAGCATCTGCGCAATGTTCTCATAGCGGCTGGGGAGTGCATAAAGGCAGATTAGACCTTCAATAAGCGTGGGAATCTTGACTTTGGCCGCTTCCAAAGTGTCGAAATGTTTGGATATCTTCGCGAAGGCTGGAGCAGGGTGCTGATCGGCCGGAATCTTCGTCGATAAGGCCCCCCGCAGCTCATTGTAAATGGCACCGAGGGACATAGACGAATAGAGGGAAGACAATTGGTCCCAAGTTTCCTTGGCCGATTTCTTGTCCTTTATGTAGGAGGCGACGGCGGGAGAGCAGCGAAGACGGATCGTACCCATAGCCCTGACGTCTTTTTCCTTCCAGGCGTCAGCAGCAGTAGAGTCCCTGGTAGTACCGGAGACGACGACAGCTGGCTGCGTGATGCTGCCATCCACATTTCCCCAGAGGCCTTGGGACATAAGGTACGCCATCATTTGCTCGGACCAGGTAGGCCAGTTCGAGCCGTCGAGGACGGGGACAACAGCGATCAGATTGTTCGACATTGTTGCGGAGCGGTTGAGAGATCTGAAATCTGTATTGAGATCTCATCAGTATCAGCGAAGCTATGCAGCCCGATAAGGGCGCACTGCTCCATGCTGTTGGCTCCATTAGGGAGTTACCCCAGGATCGATCATCAAGCCTGATGGCTGCTGATAACAGCGCCTACGGCGATAATCACGCATCAAGCCGCACTGCAGCCTGTGAGGGCGCATAGGGCGATGCACAGGTGAGCGAGGCACAACGCGCTGCAGCGAGTTACCGCGCAGACGCAAGCTGCCTATTTGGGCTCATAACCTGATGAACAGGTATGGAGGCAGCAGCACGCACAGTGCGCCCTACACAACTCACCTGTATTGGTTGGATGCTGTAGCTACTGGTAAAGCTCGTATGAACGACCCTTGTCATTAGGCAGCAGAGCTGCAGGGTTTATATACACTGTGGCCCATAGGCTGACTAAGCTACGTGGAATATCTATAATCCTACTGAGCTCCACCTATGATGTCACTGACCCACATGAGCTCCGTGCCCTTGTACAATAATGGAATATACCAGAATATTCCAGAGAGTTCCGGTACGTTCTGGTACATTGTAGAACCTGGCAGCTAAGTCAGCGCCCAGTTCAACACCGTCGATCTTGAAGTTATCCCAGCACTTCTGGATAACCGGAGATTCTCTAACAGAGCGCAGTCGCTGGAACGCTGCCTTCTCCCTGGGGATGCTGGGATAGTCGCGTATGCATACCTTGAGCGCCACATATCGGTGCTCCCTGACAGAGTGGAGTGAGCGGCTGACATGCAGAACATAACAGAGGGATTTAATACATACACAAGGTCACGACCAAGCCAAACGGTGGCGGAGGTGCCATAACCGAGCTTTGACAAGGCTTGGTAGCGAGACCGGAAGATTTCCCCGATGCGTACGGGATAGTAGGTGCTGGGACTGTACCACGAGAAGCACTCCTCTTCCACCTTTTCTGAGGCATCCAATGAAGCAAATACAGAGGATGGCGGAACGCGTGGCGGCGATATTGCGCGAGTGGAGAACCGTCTCGCCCAGCATCAGGAAACACGCATTTCCATATAGGGATGACCTTTCGCCATAGGCCAGCAAGGGCGCCATAGGTATGCAGAGGTACAACCATGCCATCAGAGGCATACATAGGATATCGAGCCTGAGTCTACTGGTATATAGCATGCTATATACATGATCTGTTATAGTACAAAAGGATAGAAATCCGGTGGTTGGAACTCATAAAATGTGCCTACATCCAACCATCGATTGAGGTAGAATGTCTTACACTCCTCGAGGACATTATCCGCCGTCCAGCGAGAATTAACTTTTGTACCGAATTTCGGAACTAAGTGACAGCTACGTACAATACGATCCATACGGATAATCTCCGCATTTGGCTGGCCACCACGCCGCGTCGATCGTGAAACCGAGTGCGTGAGCATGACGGCATCTCGTGCTGTGAACGGCGTGAACCATTCAATGTATGCTAACGGGCAGTCCTCAGTCCCGCGATAGCGCAGCTGCTCAGGGAGCCGGAAAAGTAGCCGTACTTGAGCTACTTGCAAGCCTAGGAACAATGTTAGCCATTGACCTCGAACAGACCATAGTCATGGGTACATAGTACATACCGTCCAGGAAAGTCCCCGCAGTGTTGGGATTGCTACCCACGCCTCCAGCACGTACAAGTGCTACATCGAAATGAGGCGGTAGTTCTCGACGCCCTCTCTTGCCTGGCTTGGCGGGTATGGCGCGCACCTTATCATGTAGCTTGGATTCGTCACTGACTACCCTAAGAGCCGGTCGGCGAATCATAACTTGTTTGAATACATTGAAGCGGTCCGTCGCATTGGGTACAAGGGGTCGGGCGTTGTAGGGCCGTGTCGATAGCAGATATTGCTTGAGTGCGTCAAGAAACAAAGTTGCGTGGAACCCTTCGACGATGCGGGATACCGGGACAAAATGGAAGGACGGGTGCTTCGGCAGGGATTGGAAGGGAACTATAGCACTGGACGGCTGCCCACCCTGAGCATGAGATCCTGCGGTGCATTGCGGTTGGTTCTCGAGCTCGTCCTCTGGTTCGCTCGCGTTCTCGGACTCTGATTCCGAGTCCAAATCACTCACAGGTGGCTCGGACACTTCCGTCTCATAGTCCATCTTCTCGGCCCACTCCAGGTACACCATGAATTCATGCACCGCCTCCTGGCGGCGAAGCCAGCGCGCCATCTGTTCGGTGTAATCGCGTTTGTTGCTGGCACGGTAGGCGTCCTTGGCGAACTCGATGTGGAGTCGTTCGGGAGACTCTGTGTTGTAACCGTCACAAGACCCACGAGAGCGGATAGCTGCCATATAATGCTGGAGAGAGTGAAGCTTCGGTATGTTGAAGTGTTCCCGAGCATCAAGCTCCACGAAGATATCCTTATTTGCATGGAACTCTCGCAGGGCATTCTCCATACGTGAGAGTGTCTCGACCGTGTGAGAATGGAATGATGCGAAGTAGAGGAAGTCCAGGATAGCCCGAGCCGCCCGGAGCGCTCGAGAAACTATGCCCCCATTCAGAAGAGGTACGAAGACTTTCTCCATCTCTTTATGTTCGGTGCCTGTCCACTGCGAGACAAACGAGATTCCATTTTTGAAGTGCCGGACACCGAAATGTTTGCTCATCGCTCGGAAACGTGAGTCTACTTCTTCTTTGCCAACCGCTTTGACACACCACGCCACGAGGTGGTCCTTGAAGACGCCCTTATGCAACTGGTGTAGCAGGTCAGGGGTAAAGCACGAGAATATATCACAGAATGGCAAGTGCGCCCAAAATGGCTCATCAACTGGGCGAAGTCCCTCGTTGTTGAAGGCCGGTACACGCCGTCCACTCGCCTGCTGCTTCAGGATTTTCTTGGTACGTTCTGCACTTCGGGCCTGGATCCAGAAGTCCAAATCTCCTCGCTGATCTGGCGCCACCCGGCATTTTGGACAGAAGTTCTCCTTGCAGCATGCCACGAGGCATTGCTCCGGATGGTCGGCGACGTATGCCGCTAGGATGGGATGAATGTGTCGGACAGCCCCATCAGAACATGTCATGTCGACACCATCCTTCCCCGCTTCGATGAGAGACTGCAATAGGTATGCCATGCAATAGTGGAATAAACGATAGCCAGTGACCGAGCGCATGGCATCGCTCATACAGTCAAGCTTTGCCACAGGTAGGTAACCCACGAGCATCGTCGCGTGCGACTTAGGTTTGCGACGCGTCGACTTGTCTATGTTCCCGATGGTGAGATACACAGGCCATGCCGACTTGTCCCCTCGAAACAAGGAAAGTTTGGTTTTATCAGATGAAAGAATCAGCGGCGCGATCGTTGCTCCCTTCGGCAGTTTTCCCTTCAGGTAAGCTTCAGTCAGATGGTGCAATGGAAGCGCATTGACTCCGTCAGCGCTCACCTGTGTGTCCCACCACCAATCAGCCGTCCATGCTTCATCGAAGAGCTGGATTTTGCCTTCCTCATCTCGGAAAACTTTCTCAGGTGCATAGGCCATCACCTCCTTGAATGCCGGGTTTCCTATTAACTCTCGCACACATTCTACAGGATCGCGAACCCAGAGTTCAGCCTCCTCGGTCATAACTTGGCCGTCGTCATCCTCTCGGTCCCCAGCAATCTGGATCGTATGGCAATCCCATTTCACTCCCTGGGTAGGAAGCGCATCTATCCGGTCCAAGAATGCACGGTTGTTTACGAAAGAAGGGGCAGCGCGATTCCGGATCTGCGACGGGCATCACCATTAGGTATGTGTGATCTCCTAACATTCGCATAACGTCCGCACTCACAATGGGTAATTTAAGGAACTCGTCTGTTGCCTTTTGCCCCACATTCGCAGCCAACCAGCGTGCTAGATCCCACTCCTCCTGGTCCTCAAATGGCTCAAATATATCTCGCCCCGCTTCCTTCTGCTGGCGCTTAATGCGCTCAAACTTCGTCTCGGCTTTCTCTGGGTAAGCAGCACCAGCAAGGTGTTCGGGAGGATAAGGCCTGACGTGACGTTCGAACATAGAACTGTATGTATATTCCACGTCGGGGATGTCGTGGAGCGTCGCTGGATGCCCGTCGACGGCGCCATCCGAGCCTGCAGAGGGCGGCAGTGCATCAGGAGTCTGAGGACGCTCGTACTCGGGGAAAGACGCCGGCAGATCATCTTCGAGCACGGGCCCTTCTTCGTGGTGAGTTGCCTGCAGAGGGCGATCCATCAGGTCCACGACATTGATGGCATAACGCTCAGCAACGTGTCGCTTGAAGGCAGTGTGACAGGCAGGTGTAAGACGAATATGCTTCCTGACTCCACTTGCGGTTGCTAACACTCGATTGCAGTAGTTGCAGGTGTGCTGGGGCATTGTGCACAGGAGACGGGTTTGTATGAAAAAACATGTTTTGCGACCGCGCGCCCGATTCGGACTACGACCGCCCTTCACAGCCGATGCGCTCCGATGGCGGCCCCCTTCACGTGCCAAAGCATCGAGAGAGTCATACGCAATGCAGACGCGTCGGTCATGTGAGCCTTGTTGATTTTCTTTCCTCGCGTCGCTCCCTTGTTGATTGACCTCTCATTGGTCTGCTCCCCTATGTGCTGTGCTGAATTCTTGAATAGAGTTTGGTATAAAAGCGGAGACACCTTATATACACCCAGCCTCTTATAAACCACGTCCCCCATCTCCCATCTCCCAACTTAGCCAGCCTCTTCAGCCTCGAAGACTCCACTGCCCGAGCCCGCCTTCCGTGACTTCGCGCTTGTCCTCACTAGTATGACCGCCCAGAGATCTACCGCTGCTTCTCGTCGACGGGGCACTTCTGTTCAGTCCACGACTCCTGCGCAGATGAACGCGGCCAACCCGGCTCGTACCGAGGAGATACCAGCGTCTGCCCCTGATGAAGGTACGACGCGCAGTGGCCGGCGTGTCATCCTCTCGCAACGCAGGGCTGAAGCAGGTCCGTCGCACTTTCGTCTCCACTGTATATGCTTACCCACCGTTGTGATATCGACAGAGCAAGACCGTCAAGTTAAAGAGGCCGCGACAGCCAAGAAGGCAAAGGAGTCCGCGTTGCGTGCCCGACAGGCCGAAGAGGAAGCTAATGACTTCCGAGGCGATAGTATTGGTCAGTATCGCTCTCTCTCTCATGCATCATCTCATTCTCTTGAATATTCAGGGCCTGAATCTGAGGAAGAGTATGCTGACGAAACAGTAGCGAAGTTGGGCAGCACTAAACAGGTATGAGGATTCCTTTTCCTTTGCACATTCCAGATTGCTAATGAGTATCAGTTTACTGTCACGCACTCGACTGCGGACGAGCATCCGGCTCGTCCGCGACTAATTAGGCGTGCCAGACCGCGGGTCACGGATGAGAACGACCCCGCGGAGCTACAGGAGACACTCGTGCCGGTAAGTATTTGAAACTAATGCACGTCCAATCATTGCTAAGAACCCACTTCATAGGCTAAGCCGAAGAAACGTTCCAGCGAGCTTGTACGCCGTGCTGGTCAAATCCCGCCACTGGTGGTGTCCGAGGATAGCGACTGTCGACACGTTCAGACGGTTAGTACTCGTTGCATATCAATACATCGTTATGTACTGATTCATCTTATGTCATAGCCGCCGCCAAAGAAAAAGTCAATCGAGCTCACGCGCCGTGCTGGCCATGTCCCGCCGGCCACCGCTGTGCTTCCTCCTCGGGTGCCGACTGACAGGCAGCTGACCGGCACTGCACCTAAGCAGACACCGTTGCGTGTCTCTATCGTGCCGGCCCATCAGCCCACCCCTCGCCTCTCTCACCATCAGCTTGCCGATCTGCAGCCGGCTTTCGGCCCTCTAGATGATAACTCGGGCACTGGGGACGAGCTCGAGCATGTCTCTCATTTCAGTGATGATGGTCATAGTGACACCCCCGGCCATTCTGCCTCTCCCGCACCGGCATCAGCTAAGGCTCGCCCACGGCCGGCCTCTCTTTCCGTCGAGACGACGCATATCGTGAAGAAGCAGCGCATCATCCACGGCTCTGGATCACGTGGACGACTGACTACAGGCGATTTCGAGCCGTTTGAGGCTGGCCTGCTTGCTATCTCCAATCTCGTGTACCGCAGCTTGATCTCAACTGACTGGCCATTCCCTGACAACGAGGAATCGACTACATACTGCTCACTGGCTTGGGATAAAGCTTGCAAGGTAAAGAAGGTGGATGCCACCTTTGACGACAATATCATTCAAATGGTACGTCTCCCCAACCTCGTTCGCCTATGTTCGGATTCTCTCACTCAAGTTAGATCACACCGCGTGCTTCACAGATGCGCGGTGAAGTTAAAGCAAAGGCACGGTTGCTGGTGCCCGCACTTTATGGTCTCCAGGGCAAAAGCAGCGAGGCGATCCGTACTACCGTAGAAGGTCTGCTATCCAGCGCAGCATTCACGTTCAAGGTATGGAATTAGCTTTATGTGAATAGCCATAACTAAAGGATCTGTAAGCAACCCGATATGCGTGGAGGTGCTTACAAGCACCCAATCATACAAGCAACCATTAATGAGACATGGTTCGCAAACAAACGTGATGAAGGGGTGGCCTTCCCCGAATATTTCGAGACGGACCTACATATGGGAAGCCGGTATGTTGGCCGTGCGGGGCGTGGTATACCTCTCGTAGCAATAGCGCTTGTCTTGGCTGCGGTGCGTTCTCTAACATTCTCTTCACAACATCTAATATAAATTCTCAACCGCAGGTGGAGTGTTCCCTTGAGGAATGGAGCACAGGCCAACGCTCAGACATCAAGTTTACAGAGGATGGCTATCTGAAGGTCTTCGAGAAACACCTGAAAGATATCGAAAAATTTGACAAGAACACTGCCGACATGAAGATCATCCCGAGGATCCAGGCGAAGCTACTCAAACGAGCTCGGTAAGTCTTTTAGCTCCTGGTTAATGCGAGATGATCCGCGTCCGAGTCTGATGTCCCATGTTGCGCGGCTGGCTCAGAGCATTTGCGAAGGCCCCGGATGAAGATGAAGTTCAAGAGTCCATGGGTCAGGATGATTATGCCGCGGCTAGGAAGGAGTGGGAAGCAAACAGATCAGGGGGCGAGAGTGACTAGTTTTTTTTGCTTTACTGTGATATGTGTCATGTCCAATCCTACGCTGAATAGCGATACAAAATAGAATTCTGTGCTTGCTCGTATACATCCCTTTGCGTGCCTATGTTGCCTATACATCCAATGCACCTATACCTTCCATGCCTATAATGACCACCCATGCTACTGACTGCCTATGCTGACCTATGATGAAGGGGGGTTACCATTCGACCGGTGCTGCCTCTCACGGCTATGTTGGGCTCTAACGGTAACCGCGCATTCCCTGATGAGCGCAACATTGCGGCAGAAGTTGCGACTGTTTCGTGAACAAGATTTCAGAGTGGGATGATAGACACCGCGTTCCTAACTTTATTAGGCTGTGGGTAGAAGAACCCCTGGAAGACCTGAGGTGATCCGAGATTTCCAGAGCGGTGATTTGTACTCGAACACGCAGATGAAGACAACAAACGATGTGGCAAACACCGCTCTCGGTTATCTGTGTGCAATTCCACGAGCCTTGTGTACTGCACCACTACCGTCAAAGACACCTAACGGTCGAGAGTAGATATTAATCCTGCGCGCGATGCGATTCGAGAAGATGTCTACATTCAATTGTCAATGCCAATAGGCGAGTCGCACCTTGTCACGTGACGGACGCATGCCCAATGCTTCCGCGTCGCTCGAGCACCTTTCCATTCCACCGCGCGCAACATCGACATTTTCTCTGATATGAAGACCTAGAGCTGATGCAATTCTGTCTAAGCATGCGGTAGTCATACTCCAGGCTCTCGACAGTGCTTGTGATTCACACGGTAGCGTCCTTTTGCCCTCCTTCTAGACCATCTTATTCTACTCTCAAACAGAAAGCCGCCCTGGATTTGGAATGGTCCCAAGTAGCCAAGGCATGGTTGACCGTACTACAATGTAACTGGAAGGTGAAACGAGAAGCTATCGGAATGGCGACTCGTGAATGATGGTCAGACAGGACAGGACAGCTCCGACGGGGTGAAAATCCTTAGCGTTAACGCCCATTAGCAATAAGAGATACGACTAGAACGCCCTGTAGATCAGCAATATAGCATTCCCATGGTGGCATCCCTCATTGTGGGATGGCTCAAAGCTAAAACATGCGACTTCTGTTCTCTCCACCTGTATTTTAACAAGAAAAAATTTTAACCATACCAAAGTATGATACGTAAGAATTCCGAGCAGCTTGTCTATCCGTCTTTCGTCCCGCTCAAGAAGCCAGCGGTTGCAACTCTTCGCAGCAGCAAAGACCAACCCCATCCTGGACACCAGCAGCAAGCTCGTCGAGCTTCCCCCTGAGTGGCTCCCTCTCATCCACGCTGGCCTGGAAGAGCAGGCGTGTCATTTCGCAGCAATGAAACACAAGAGCTACGCTGATCTTGTGTACGCGCTGGCCCAATAAGAACTTAGAGGTAAGACAGAGGTACGGATCATCTGACTGCGTGGACGCTCGGCTCAGCATAGCACTCTAGACATCAAGAAGGCGACACCGCAAGAGTGAGGGTATCAATTCCGAGCGTGTCAATTGAAAGCTGTTCGCAATCAATGTACCATATCCTGACTATATACCTGCGCAGTAGTATTGCTTCGTCCGATATGTCTTGTCTTGGCTTGCAAAGCTGATTTAATGATTCCTGTTCCAAATCTATCGACGTCAAGTACTGTTGGAAAACCTGAGATGTCGTTCGTGTTGTACCTCAATGACTTCGGGAGCTTCCGGGTACGCCACAAGTGAACGCCACACCCTAACGTATGGCAAATTGCACCGGGCCCTGAAATTGACGGCATCCGAAATTAGACGACATGACGCGAGAGCTTCCGGCTAACGACAAAACGATACAAATTCGGAGATGGGTGTAGACTGGGAGACCGGCCGCACTATCATATTCGTGTTGAGAGGTACTGTCTATGTCACCCTAAAGATTTGGAGGAGCTTCTATCGTTTTGTCGTTAGCTCGAAGCTCTCGCGTCCTATAGTCTGATTTCAGACAGTTGAGAGGGGAGCCACTATTCAGTGACAGAAGAACATTGTGGATACATTAATACCATATGAGTATACATTTTCATCAGAGTCGGATACAGGCGCTATAAGTCCTGCTGTCACTTCTATCAACCTCCCCTCGCGACCCTCAGAAACTCCACACTCACCCGAACCGGCTTCGCCTCGTCCAGCACCCTCCTCGTCGCTTCCACAATCACCTCCCACTCAGCCTTATGCAGCCTCTCCTCGAAGCTCTCGAGAGGCTCGCGCTTCTCGCACGGCACCTCCCTGACCACGACCGGCTCGCCCCTGTCGACCTCCTTAATGACACGATGCACCATCACGCCGACGCGCTCGACCTCGCCGCGCTGGTACGCCTCAAAGGCGCGCTCGATGGCGTGCGTGCCGTCGAACGCGCCGGGAAGCGCGGGGTGGAGGTTGATCACAGGTATCGGGGTAGGGGGCGCGGGCTCGCCCTGGAGGACAGTATGGCCACTCACGACGTCGAGGAACCCCTCGCCGAGGACGTGCATCCACCCCGCGAGCACGACGAGGTCTGGCTGCTCCCTCACCACGATCCTCGCCACCTCTCTATCATAGTCCTCCCTCGTCTTGCCCGGGTTCGCCTTGAGGAACGGCTGGAGCGCGAGGTAGGCAGTGCGGATGGGCGGGGAGGCGTTCGCTGCTCGCGTTAGTCCATAAGCGGCTTTGCGGTTGGAGAGGACGAGGGCGATGCGGGTGTGCGGGAGGCGCGGGGTGTTTTGGGCGTCGATGAGGGCTTGTAAGTTCGAGCCTGCGAGGGCGGGGTGGCTGCGGATTTGAATGGGCGGGCGGGGCGGCGGGAGGGGCGGGCGTACCTGATCCGGAGATGAGCACGACGATGCGCCGCTCGACGGGATTTTGGGCCATGGTGGCGGGAGAGGAAGATAGCTGAAAAGACTGGCATGTGATCGACCGGCAATGTCCGTACGACTCCGATCTGTAGATCTGGAAGTTGTCCGAGTCGACTCAGCTCTCGTCTGTTGGATCTTTGATACTCTGGGTCTCGCAGCGCGCCAAGAATCTCGGGCATCATCTCATTTGTTTTCCACGTCCACACTTTGATATCACCCTGCTCATGCAAGTACCTCGTGTCCTACTAGAATTCACTGATATTTCGTCTCCATAATACATCCCCGCTCACAACGATACCCGTTATGTTGCGCAACCAGGTACGGGTGCAATATGTACGACGGGAAAGGTTTCTTCACCGGTGTTATATTATCAAGTAGCGGTGTTCTGTGGCTCTAGTTCATCTTCATCCTCATCAGTAAAAGCACTCAGCTCCGACAACGGCACCGCTTCGACCTCCTCCATCTCCTCTGCCTCCCGTCACGGTTTTGCTGTGCTCTTCCACATGTGCAGGCGGAGAATAATAAGCTCCATGCGCGACTGGACAGCATAGCGAAGGATGTCGTGTGGCGCCGCGGGCGGACAGTCGAGAGGGAGTGGGCGTAACCGGCTCTAGCAAGGGCACGTATTTATCCCAAGCCTTAACCTAAGGACCTAGTATACGAGTGGATGAGATGAGATGAGAATCGGACAGAAGTCTAACTAGGCGCAGTGACGTTTAGCCAGGGATCTTGACACAACTCCGCGGCAGTGGCCCTCTTCTCCGGCTCCCACTGCAAGCACCGCCGAATGAACCGCAAGAACTCAGCTTGCTCTTCGCCGGCCAATCGTGTCTCCCTTGACTCGAGCGACATGTCCGATGGAACCGGTATGACGCCAGTCCACTTTCCGCTCGCGTCGAAATAATTCCAGCGGACGTAAGTTGGGCTCCTGACGCGCGAAAGGAAGGCCGGCGGTGGCGGACCCATGACGGCAACCATTTCCGCTAGGTGGACCATCTGCGCTTCCCCATCAGGAAGGTACGGGTGGAACAAGGGTTTCCGCTCAAACATATGCCAGAGCTATCCGCCGCGAGAAGAAAGGTTTGCCGACAGCTAGTCAGATATAGCAGAGTCAGACTCTAGAGAGACCCACCATGACGCCGACGTTCCATATATCCACGGGATAGGAGAATGGAACCTCCAGTATGACCTCAGGCGCCCGGTACGGGAACGGCTGGATGTCATCGTAGTAGACGTCGGGAGTGTCGCCAGCGCGGGCTTCCCCGAGGTCGCTCAGAACAACGCCCGTCAGGTCAGCGATGATGGTGATGTGGCGAGAAGTGTGTATGACGCGGTCACCGTCGATCTTCCGAGGAGAGGGCTCTCGGTTTTCGTGTTCCTCGATCTCTCGGAAGACACGGTCCTTCGAAACGCCACAGAGGAAATTCTCCTTGCGAAGATCTCGAGGGTATAGGTAAGTAGGCGACGAGACATGTAAAAGTACGCAAGAGACGTACCGCAGTGGATCAGGTGAGCCTCCTCGTGGAGAAATCTCAAAGCTTCTACAACTTGCCGAGCCGTCGCGCGAAAGGAGGGGATGTCCGCCCAGCCCCTCATTCTCGCACCCAAAGCAGCGAGGCTGATGCTGAGCGGCTCGAGCACGAGGCACTCATGAGAGGCATCTCCAATACCGTCGATCTTGAAAGTGTCCCAGCACTTTTGGACAAACGGAGAATCCCTGACTGAGCGCAGCCGCTCGTATGCGCTTTTCTCCCTGAGGATGCTGGGATAGTCGCGCACGCACACCTTGAGCGCCACGTATCTGTGCTCCCTGCAAGAACAGGTTAGGCTCGTGATGATAAAGTATTCAGAGTACATCATGCGTACACAAGGTCACGACCGAGCCAGACGGTGGCGGAGCTGCCATAACCGAGCTTTGCCAGAGCTTGATAACGGGTCCGGAAGACTTCCCCTATGCGCACGGGATAGAAGGTGCTGGGGCTGTACCATGGAAATGATTCTTCTTCTATCTTTTCCGAAGCGTCCAGCGAGGTAAAACCAGAGGTCGCAGGAATGCGTGGCGGGGACATTGCACGAGTGGAGAACCTTCTCGTCCAGCGTAGCATCGTGGTAGAAGAACGACTGTGAGAGGTGGAATCCGGACTTTGAACCTCGCCAAATACTACTAGGACGATACGATGCTAGAGAAAGTAGAGCTAATCCGAGGCTCACAGTGGTCTGAAGGGCAGGCGTGGACGAGGCGAACGTGCCACACGGCACGGTACGTCAATGAAAGCGTAATTTACTGTAACACCTGTGTAGTCGTTCGAAACGGCTACGATGGGTAGGAATGGGGCTCATGCTCGTTCGCAAGAAGAGTTAGGATATGTGGCGACTTACCCACGGTCGGCAATTCTTATTGGTCCCGCGATCAAAGGTTGACATCCTAATATACACGGACGTACGGACTCACATCCGTCACTCGGTCTGGCAGTCAGTCTAGGAGTAGTAGTACAGTGCACACTGCTTACTAGGATCTTTGTGAAACTCAAGCACGTAACCGTATGAGAGGTCAGAATATTGATATTGCCACTTGTTCATTCACGGATCTAACCGCAAGGTATCGCTAGTTACCTCGACTGTGCTTCGTTGGTCTCGTAGATTCTCGACTAGTGCTCGAGTGAGAGCGTCAAATACCAGGCATCCCCCGGCTGGTACATCCAGTCTCATAACTGTCACAAAGAAAATAGAGGAGGAAGATTTCGATTGGTACAGTCCGATGGTGAGTCTCATTGCTTCTCATTGCACTGTGCTGTCGTAACTGCGAGGATTCAGGCTCGCCAGCTGAAGGGTCAGATCGACGACCTACCGACTGAACTCCTGGAGCGCACCCTTGAGAAGTTGGAAATTCAAGTTCTGGTGGCATGTCGGCAGGTACGCTTGTGCCCCATCATGTCCAGTCATCTGAAAGAGACTGGATGCGGATATTTTCTAGGTGAGCCCACGTGTCAAACGAGTTATCGACGAATCCGTCGTTCTCCAGTACAAGATCGAGCTGGAAACTGCCGGTATGGAAGACGGCCCGCCCAGTGAGATCACTATTGCGGAACGATTGCAGCGTCTACGTAAATATACCGACTCTTGGGCCAGCGCACAGTTCGGATCCGTGGAGAAGCTGCGCGGTGGCAGAGGCAGTATGCTGCGTCTCTCGGGCAATGTACTCTGTCGGTGTTTCGGCCCATCAAACCTGGTACTCAATATACTCCCGGGGAATTTACGAGGAGTCAAGGCGAAGGAATGGCGGCTCGACGATTTAGGCTTTGTGATCGAAGACTACGCGATAGACGCTGCTCAAGATCTGCTTGTGATCATTTCCCGAACAGCAGAGGAAGATAGGAGTTCGTCAGCGCACATGATTCACTGCCTGTCTCTTTCGACTGGGCAAGCGCACCCGCATGCAGCACGTCCCAAAATACTGTTTCCGGACAATTTGGTGTATGACATCTACGAGTGGTTCAAACTTCGTCTGTCGGGAGACTTTATTGGTGTAATGGTTCCGTACTCTTTAAACGCGGACGAGTTCCAGGAACATCTGGTCGTCTGGTCCTGGAAAGAAGGTACTGCGTGTATGGTGAGTTCATACCCTGAATATTCACGATTCGTGTCAGTGTCACCTGACGTTGAATGTCTCAGTGGCTGAGTGAGGCCTCTCGCATCGAGGACTTCACGTTCGTGAATGGCTTCCTGCTTACAGGTATAGAGCCTAGCATGGGTGAGAAGCCACGCTTGCATGCTTACAGCATCGACAAATGTTCAGCATATACGGAGCCCGTCCCATTCACCAAGTTGTCTTGCTTCACGTTCGAATACCCATCCTATGATGACCATATCCTCATTATGGAATTCTCCACAATTTCGTCCCTTGGGTCTCTGCCCGAGCTGGAGGGCTCAGCTCTCTTTCGGGCGGCACCGACAGACGTGTACCTCGCCGTCCAAATGTGTTTCGAGAGTGATGACTTCGACGCTGAGCACAACTTCCGGGTTACACATGTGGTCCCAGTGTCGGTGCTTACTTCCAGAATCCGACAGATGCTGGGTCAGTCCGCTCCCGTCATCCCATGGGAAGAATGGGGTCCGTCATATACGGTGATGACTGGCCCCGTATATTATGATCAGTATCTGTCTCGACCTATGCATGGGGTCGCCTCTCAGCGCCTCGTTGACTGGTTCCACCCAGCCCACCACACCGCAGAGGATACGGCGGCAGTCTTCGACTTTCGAGTCCACAGGCTTCGACGGGG